CGGTGTACCCTGTAAATCTCGGCTGCCGGTCCCGACGGCGGTGATAAATAACGCGCGCCGATTACGCTATTGAGACCTGACTGTTAAAACGCTGGGATTTTAATTAAATGTTTACCCGCGTTTCGTTGCGATATGAGTTATCGGCGAAATCTCCCGCTTTTTAAATGCTCCAAAAGTAGGCGCGGTGTAAGGAGCACAGCGTAAAATATTACGATTGAAACGGGATGCAAATGAAATTCCGCAAAATCTCGTCTCTCGTCGAAATTTCGTTCCTACGCTGACGCAATCGACACGACGTATCCTTCCGACCGCGTCCCTCTCCGGGTCTCTGCGGACTTCTGGACCTCGAGAGGACACGCTCGCCCAGCGGTGATCACCGATGACTCCGCGCGTGTGACGACTACGCATACGGGAGATCGATCGTCATCGATTTTTTAGACTCGCGATAGGAGGAGAGAATAGGGGATTCGGCGTCGGGGCATCAACACGACCCACGTGGCGCGCGCGGAGACATAAACACGTCGGCCGATAAACCGCGTCCTCACGATACCGGTCTCGCCTCGGGGTTCCTCGAATGTTATCGGCATACCCGGGGTATATCGCCGGGCCGCGGCTCTCGAGTGCATTCCAGGAGGCATGAGATACGAAGCGGAGAGCCTAGAGCCCGGCCCCCGGTGGGTCCGAGCCGCCGCGCCGCGTCATTATGTTCAGCGTCATCGCCAATGCGTTATGGGACTCTAATTGCGCCACAAATTATTTTCCACCGCTTCCACGTGGGAGGGACGGTATTTCCTCCTCCGCCGGGATACGCCGTGACGGCGATGATCGCCGGGATGGGGGAGCGAGGGGGGGGGGGGGGAGAAAAAGGTGAATGTTACTTTATCGCCGCTCCGAGTAAGTTTTAAGTAACCTTCGTTATTGGATGTCGTTAGCGTGGCCGGGCGTTATCAGCGCGGTATCGGTATAATTGATACGATCGTAATTAATTACGGCGATACACGCGGTGTAACGCATCTCTGGTAATTATGTGATCGGCCTCTTCTGAAAGTTTACCGGACTATGTTGGCGCTCGTGTGAACAGCTGGCAGGAAGTATCTCACTAATAATTGTTACTAATCGCTACAGAGTAATAAATAAATATCCACAGATAGAAATGTGGTCGGCTCGGGACCTAGAAGGAGGGGGAATTTAAATGTACATAAATTACGCCCGCCCGAACGAAAGTGAAGATAGGATTTTCGGAGAACGTGAAGGAGCCATAAAAACGTCGTCCTCACTTAATTTTACCGTCGCGCGGCTGACTTATAATGGAACGGCCCCCGTACTTTCATCCGGCGATTAATATACGAATCTTCTGTACACGCGTGATGCAACACCCGTAAATGTAGAACGAGTTTGCGATCCAAAGTAGCTCTTACGCGGCGCGGACGGCCGCAGCGGTAAATCTTTATCCACCGAGGATTGATAGCGATCGGGGCGGGGGTAGTGGCCAAGTGTCAGACTGTCATTAGTTAAAAATTGCTAAGACGAACGGCGATCGCCCGAGATCGGAGCGACGAAATTACGAAAGCATGCTCGGCCCGCCGAAATGTATCCGGGATTATCTCGTGTTCTCTCAAGAGAGAGAGAGAGCCAGGGAGCGACCGGCTAATTTCGACTTTCGCGAAAGTGCCTCTCGTCGTCTCGGCCACGGTCCCCCGGCGGTTTCATTATCGCTCGGGAAGGGTGAGAGGAATCCGCGGGCGCCTAATTGACGTTTTCTTGGCCCGGGCGCAACCGCGAGGCTTAACTTAACGTTTCTTTAAGAACGTCGTCGTGAGATCCTCACGGTTCGCGCGCGAGAGATAATTTTCATCGCGCCTTAATATATTACCGCACACGCCGGTTACTTATCCAATCTTAATACAAATGTTAATAACTGGGCTCTCTCCAGCTGGCGCGAGCGCCTACACGAGCGCACAATTTGGCCGCGGTGGGGCAATAATCGTTGGATATTTCGATTTAGCGAGCAATTAACGCTAAGTGTCGTTAAGTTATGCCGCAATGTCCGCCACCGGCTACATCTCTATACGATTAAAATCGCGCTGCTAGCGAGAGAATTTCTTCCCCGTTCAGGCTGATGCAAGAATCCGATAAGGATCGCGGCGAGCGCGATGTGTGGTCTCGCGTGTGCGAATATCCGTTTAAATCCCAACGCGCGCGCGCGCGCGCGCGCGCGCGCAGTCTTCTGCCCAATACGAGTTCCTATAGGAAGCGCCGCTTAGTTAACCGCTCACCCGCGGGAACGATGGCTTAATTAAACGTCGGCGATGCCGGCTATATCGCGTTTGTCTCGTTCGTACAGGCCTCGCCTAGAAGCTCTCGCTTGACCCTTCGATAATGTTAATTATGTGAAAGATAAGCGTCTTCGATAACAATGCAGCGCTCTCTCTATTGCTGTAAATTCGAATCTGATCCGTGATAATGTGGCACTTTTCCTCGCTTAAATTCAGCCGCGGAATTCACTTGCGGTACACGTGCATCTGCCTTTGTACATCGTTCCGTGTTTCCTTATCAATACCGCTCTTTTCGGGTATAATAAACAACCATAATTATTACATCGTATGCGTCTCGAGGACCTTTCTGTTTTGAAAAAAAAAAGAGGTTTAGGTTAATTCCTGAATGAAGCAGGTTCCGCGTCCTTTCTGTGTGGTGACGAGTTATACGGCGCAATTAAATCGAAAGTGTGGTGTACAGCGAGAAAGAGGCACGCTGATATTAACAAGCGGCGAGCGGCGGCGGCGGCGGCGGCGGCGCCGTGAGGCCTGTTTTGCATAAAAATTATAAGCCGAATTAATGTTTTCACCTTCACGTAAGCTCACACGTACACCGGCGCGGCGCTCGCTCACGGTGCGCCGCGGATTCGGGCGATGCGTGACTAACGCCGTGCTTTATTGCACGCTCGTACCAATCTCCGTCCTGTCCAATACCTTCTCACGCGCGGTCCCCCGCCCCGCGATATTATTATCGATGCAATTCTAATCTGACAATTCGCGAAACGCATTGCAGAGTCACGTTGGTCTGCGTCGGAGTATGACAGAGTTGCTTACATCGCGCGTCTAAATAGCACGCTCGTGGCGTCAAGGCGCGCGCAGTACCTGCTGCGAATAAAGAACACATTTATTCAATCGCTATCGAGCGCTAATCTAAATGCGCCAACTATCACACTATTATATACAGAGTATTATGCAATACCCGTCTCACCTCTTGTTTACGAATAGAGCGGACTAGACTGAC